AAAATCAACCTTCTGCTGGTGGCATCTGACTCAGATGATGAAAATGAACATGCATCAGTCCGCACTGCTTCGGATCGTTATCAAGCAGAACCCATCATCAGCATGGAAGCTTATCCTCTGCAATGTTGGTTGAAGCATGAAGGGACATATGAATCCTTAGCGCATCAGGCACGTAAATATTTTGCAACGCCAGCTACAACAGCGCCATGTGAACGCCTGTTCTCACTTTCAGGTGACACTGTAAATAAGAAGCAGGCAGCATTATCTCCTGCAAATTGTAACCAACCTTGTTTGTCTGAGTGATTGGCTGAACAAAAGAAGTAGGACTGATTGGACTTATGGGCTCTAAAGTTTTACACTGTTTTGTTTTAGAGTGCAGTTTTTTAAATAATTCTATATTTATAATTTCAACTTTCATGATAAAGAGATTGCACTACAATACTTATATGAGGTGAATTGAAAAATACAATGTTTTTTTGTTTTTTACAGTGCAAATATTTGTAATACAAATATAAAGTGAGCACTGTACACCTTGTATTCTGTGTTGTAATTGAAATATATTTGAAAATGTAGTAAACATCCAAAAATATTTAAAATAAATGGTATTCTATTGTTTAACAGCACGATTAATCGTGCGATTAGCCACAATTAATGTTTTTAATTGCTCGATAGCCCTAATACCAAGCTCTCCAGGGGTTGACAGAACAAAGCTGGACTGGGAATCCTGCGGATATTTTCACAGTTGCGTATGGAAGTGGATGGCCTGTGCGGGCTAGGAACTAGAGCGAAACCCGTAGCTGCTTAGCTTTGGCAGCCTGCAGCCCAGACACACAATCTGCACCTCCTCCACTGGGGAAAACTCAGCACTGCGATGGGTGCTAGAGAAATGGACAAGACAGATAGGATCTCAGACGCCTTCGCCACCTGTAGTGAACTCAACACCTCCAGTGGGCCAGGAACGGGGCTACAGCGGAGGAGCCTGGTGCCCTGGGCAGGGAAGGGGGCGTGGCTCGAAACGGGGCTGTGATCTTGAGGGACAGGCAGGAAACCCTTAGCCTTGTGACCAAGCCCCTCGGGGTACCCGTAGGGCCAAGGGCCGCTGCCTCTCCTCAGTCCACCGTGCTCCCCAACGTCACCCAATGGTACCGCCCATCTCAGCGATCTCGCCCCCCGTGTTTCCCGATGATACCATCCCCGCATGCGCACTGAGCACAAACCAGCCCACCCATCCAGCACGCGAGAGCTGCGGCGGGACCATGATCCCTCCGGCTCCTTTCCGCCCCGTTGGCCTGGGACTCACCGCGGAGGAGGGCGGAAGGGCCAGGACGACCAAAACAGCGCAGCTCCCGATGGAGGCCAACTGTTTCTCCAAAACCACAGAAACAAGATGGCGGCGCTCACTTCCGGCCACCCCCGGAAGTCCAGCTCCAGGGGTAGAAGAGATTAGGGCGCCGCCATATTTGGGACACGTGATAGCCATCACTCTTGCAGAAAACTAAGGGGTGGAGGAGGGAAAAACACTGCTCCAGTGACGGCGGGACCATCGTGCAATCATTTGATCGGGGTCCCCCCACCCATTCCTGCTGAAGCCGCATGGTGGCTTTGCCTCATATGATCAGGAAGCAGCAAGAGAGAGTCCGTCCCCCTCCAAGACTAGGACAGAGTTTGGGTCCACGTTTTGTGCCAGGCAGATCCCTTGACCCAAGGAGACCTGGCTCAGCTGCTGGGGCTAGCCTCCCTACTCCGCCCAGCTCACTGCCTCCAGCCTAGACACAGTTGCTGAAGAGTTTGGCAAGGCAGGTGGCTTCAGGTGTTAGGAAAAGTTACCAAGGCATAACATGCCCTGTGGGTGGACGGGTCACAGCACATCTCCTTGCTCATTGGCCAGTAGCAGACTAGGCTCAGGACATGCTTGAGGATGCAATTCTTCCAGGGAGAAACAGCACAAACAAGCAAGGATGAGGGGTTGTTTATCCTCTCTCTACTCCAGGAAGAGGGCAGATCAGACTGCATTGCTAGAAGCAAGGGCGATACCACTGTCTGGTTGCAGATGCTGGTATACAACAGGGATGGTTTCCAACATAGAAACACAATAGAGTGGTGGAGCAAGGATGGCTCAGAAGAGCAGGAATGGGGTATGAAGCCATTCACCTTTAGCTTACAACCTCCAGTCTGTCTCTAGGAGCAAGGGGTGGAGGCAGGGGGAGAGAGACAAACTGTCTCAGATTATTCCACCTTTAGCACACTGATTTCAAATATGACCCAGGTCAGGAGTGGCTGAATATAGGAATACAGTTACTGCCAGACTGGACCAGATCCAAGCTCCATCTAGTCCAGTATCCTGTCTCTGGCAGTGACCGGTGTCAAACTGTTTTCCATCTGACAGTCATTCAGTGGCCCCACAAGATACAATGTAATTCTCAGCCCCACTCCCACTGGACAGGCAGCCACAAAAACACCACCACTTTTATTAGGAGCCTCAGTTCAAGGGCCAAGGAGCAAAGCGAGGAAAGCTGCCTCTTGGTGGTGGGACACAGAGACAACTTCAGTATCCACGATATCATGTGTCCCAAATATGGCAGCCCCCAATTAACAGATGCCTATAGCCGAACATATGATCTTTCAAGTAACCACAGGTCTGGAGTTAACCTGTGACTCTAAAAAAATAACTAGCCTCTCAGCTTCCTTCACAACAGCACTCACTCCTGAAAACCAGGACCTGGGTTGTGTATAATGAAGGATTAGGGTTAGTAAAGCCCTTTAAGTATTGATATGTGCCTAGTATTATCGTTTTTTAAAAACAGAGGCAGGGCAATGAGAAGCAACGCGATTGGTTGAGAAAGGTTCCAGCCCATATGGTAAAAGGGGGAAAAAAACAAAAACAAAAAACAAGATTCAGCCTTAAGAGCTTTGGCCGGGGGTGGGGGAAGTTTTCCCTGGTTCCAAAGGTTCGTAAACTGCCCAGCTGATTCCCCGGGGCACCCAGTCACCACTCTGCAAACGGATAGCACTACGGAGCTGTTAGCACGGCCTGGGGACCTTTGCAAGGGGTGGGAGATTTGTCGCCTCACAACCCCTCCCCTCCGGTGTCAAGTGAACCGCAACGTGGGGCTACAGGCTCAGAGCCAGGCCAGCCTTCGCGAGCCCTCTCCTCTCATCCCCCTTTGCCCTCTGCTAGGGCGACACCGCTCCCCCAAAATGCATCTGCTAACTGCCACCTCGCTGCTCCCCAGCCTCCTGCCAGCACCACAGCCCCGTTCTCCTCTCCTGCCCCGGGGGGCACTCCCCCTCCCCCACCTGAGCAGGGGGGAGGGAGGGGTCGCCTCTCCTTCACTCACCGGGGAAGCCCCGGAACCGGCGTCTCGCCTCCTACTCACAACACGCCCCCACCAGCTACTTCCGCTCCATACCGGAGTCTGGCTCACCACTGGTGCCTGAGGCCTCCCAGGGTAGCGCCATGTTACCTGGGTCATGTGATCAGAGGACTATTTCCTCCTCTCTCACACGAACACACAGTTTAGTCTCCCTCCCCGTCCCTACACAATGGAGTTTTAGGGCGGAGGGGGAGCTGTTGGTGATAATGTGGCGCGAAATATGTGATAACATCCTGTTGGCATGGTGCCCACCTGGGATGAAATAAGTCACCGACACACAGACCTGCAAGCAACACAGACTATGTATGTGCCTTGCAGCATCAACATGGTGTAAAATAAACCACTGGCCCATGGCACCACAGCATGAAATATGGCACCACACAGCATCGGGGTGTGTAAAATAAGTCACTGACCTATGGCACCACAGTATGAAATATATCAGCACGTGTTGCCCACATGACATGAAATAAGTCACTGGCTCATAGCCCTACAGTGCAAAATATGGGGAAAGCTGGGGAAAACAAGACCAGGAGTTTGAATGTCACCTCTTCTCTGTGCCCCATGTGAAATATGTCACCACACAGAGTCAGGGTGGTGTGAAATATGTCACCACTCAACAGCAGCCTGAGCTGAGTCACCGATCCATGGCAACGGGTGTGAAATACATTACAGCACCACAACGAGTTGCTGGGCCTCAGCCCAGTTCCCGGCAGGACAGGTGTCCCCATCACACAAATCCTTCACTGCAAATCACCCACATGTCATCACCACTCCCAGAAGCTAATGATGTAGCTGTTCACCCAGTTACACCAGAGTCCTGCTGAATCAAGGCTAAGGCATCTCTGCCTATTAATTATTATTATTACTACTACTAGTAGTAGTATTGTAGCACCAAGGAGGCCCAATCATGGACCAGGACCTCAGCAGGACCTGTGCTAGGCGCTGTAAAAACACAGAACTAAGAGACAGTCCCTGCTCCAGAGAGCTGACAACCTCAATATAAAACAAGAACATAAGCACAGCCATACTGAGTCAGACCAATGGTCCATTTGACCAGTATCCTGTCTTCTGACAGTGGCCAATGCCAGATACTTCAGAGTGAATGAACAGAATAGGACAATTACAGAGTGATTCATCCCCTGTCATCCACTCCCACCTTCTGGCAGTTGGAGGCTTAGGACACCCAGAGCATGGGGTTGCATCCTTGATCATTTTGGCTAATGGCCATTGATGGACCTATCTGTGAACTTATCTAATTCAAGAGACTACAAGATGGAGACATACAGGGGAGTATAACAGGTGGATACAGACAGACAGATGGGAGTACAAGGAAACAATGAGACAATATCAGTCAGTATGATAGGCTGTGGTCTCAGCACACCAGCAGCCTAACCATTGCCAAGTTTTCTGTAGGACTCACAGCAGAAGAGAGTTTTAAGGAAGGTTTTAAAATAGGATAATGGAATGGAATGCTAAACTGTATTGTACTGTTCCGCCACTAGGGGGCACTGTGCATAAACACCTGATTTAAAGCAAACCTTAGGCATACCTGCCAGACCATTAAAGGATCTCATGATGAACACATCCGGTGTGTATAAACAAGCTCTGTGACCAGTCCATATCAGAAAAACATGACATGGTGTCAGAAGTAAACGGAGAACAGAAACAGAAGGAAAACAGCAACAAAGGTTGCAAACAGAAAGGACAAAGCAACGAAGGTTGTAGGATCTCATCAGCATGCCACTCTTCAATGCCCCCAGAGAACTTCAACTTTGACAAACATTAAGAATGGACAGACTGGAAACAATATTTTGCAAGATTTTGCATTGCTATCAAGATGCACAAAGAAACTGGAGATGTACAGGTATCATCTATATTTTATGCTATACGAAAGCAAGCAGAGCATATCTTTTAATCCTTTTAAAATTTGGTTTAAGAAAGAGCATGTTTCCATCAGAGAATTCAAGAACCAGAGGAAAATGTTGAATCGTTTATAAGAGTTCTGCATACAGTAGCTGAAAACTGTGATTTTGGGAACGCGAAACATGAAAATATTAGAGGCAGGCTCGCTATTGGGTTAACAGGCAAAAACCTTTACAGCAGCTCCAATTAAAAATAGATCTAACCCTACACACAGCTATTCAAATTGCAAAACAGTCTGAACTGGTGAAACAGCAAAACCTAGAGCAACTTGACATACCTGAAAAACCTGAAACTAGCTTAGAAACTGTAAACAGACACTTGGGCATTAAAAGTTAATATCATAAAACCCCTGAGGTAAGGAGAGAAAACTCCCAGGCTAAGGCTATGTACACACTACAGCTTACATCAGTATAAATTATGTCACTCAGGGGTGTGAATAAGCCACCCTCCCCGCCCCCCCGAGCGAAGTATGTTACACCAACCTAAGCACTGGTGTGGACAGTGCTATGTCAGTGAGATAGCTTCTCCCACCGACATAGCTATCACCGCTCGTGGGGGCTGAAGTAATTAAGTCGATAGAAGAGCTCTCTCCCATTGACTTAAGCTCTGCAGCAGCACAGCTGCACCATAGTCTAAGAGGGACAAATTCCAGCCTACGTGCATAAGGTGCGGTAAAAGCCATATCCAAAGAGTTTATATATATCCAGCCAGAGGCACATGGTGTAGTACAGGGGTTCTCAAACTGGGGGTCTGGACCCCTCAGGAGGTCACGAGGTTATACCTGGGGGGGGGGTCACGAACTGTCAGCCTCCACCCCAAGTTCCGCTTTGCCTCCAGCATTTATAATGGTGTTAAATATATAAAAAAGTGTTTTTAATTTATTGAGGGGGGGTCACATGCAGAGGCTTTCTATGTGAAAGAGGTCACCAGTACAAAAGTTTGAGAACCACTGGTGTAATACATGTATGAAATATGGACATTTTGCAGCTGTTAGCCGCACCAAAGCAGTCAGGGAGTTGATCCATATTACAGACAACCAAGAGCCATTGTTTCTGGGATCCATCACTTGTGATGAAACA